GACAACGATAAGCTGTCGAAGTCACAAAGATGCATTGCCGAAGTTTCACAAAGCGTAATCAGAATGACAACAATGCGTTGTAATAATGACAACGATGCGTTCTCAAAATTACAACGGTGGTTGTCAAAATGATAACTGTGTGTACACATCCTTTATCTAAATGTTAACAAATGTGGTAAGCTTACTTTTGACAACAGATTATATCAACATCGGTACTTTTCTACCGCTTTTCCGGGTCTATTCTATTGACTAGTTTACGAACTAATCAATTCTATTGAAAAAGAACTTAATATTTTGTGGTGGTACTACGATATTCTTTGTAAAAGTACTGAAAAACGTATGTACAATAGTAATATATAAAGTATTAAAGGTATTATACTAAGTCAAATGACTTCCGAATGCACTCGATAAATTACATCTGACCCTAACCTTTTGACTTGGTTTAGAAGCTTATACCTTAAAATGACACAATACACACATATATATGTATGTATATCAGTGTATTTTCATTGTAAGAAACTCTTTTAGCTGTTTTGCTTACAAACCCTTTATTCTTAGTAACACTTTTTATAAAATAAATTCCCTTTAACTAACTCTAGCCAATAACTCTTTAAAATATGTTTAAATTTATCATTTCATCGTAAACAAGTTTTGATTACTTTCATTATTCAAACTAAATGGTAATTTTGTTAAAGGGGATTACATCCCTTTCCCAAAAGATTTTATAGTGTGACATTTCAATTTATTCATGTATATGAATGCAAACACATACAAACATACTTATGTGTATGTATATGCTGGATAATCATTATAATGATATATGATTGAACAAATGTACAACATATCTTACACAGATACGCACACATTTAGTAAATGAATATTTCACTATTTCTTATACATGGACTTTATATTTCCCTACATGTGTTTTGTATTCAAATAAAACAAGCAGTTAACATGTTTTCATATAAATACAAGTGTAAATATACATATTTTTGCATTTACACTTAAATATATATTTTTTCATTCCTACAATTCGAAGTGAATGTCATGAAGCTTAAATATCAGAATAGTTAAGCTCAGAATGTGCATTATAACTTTTGGCGGCTTAAATAATGACTTTCCGAACTAAAAAGGCGACAACAATGTTTCAAGTGTCTTCATTCTGAATTATTTTTAGACATTATAATATAGGATTGACTTCCTCTCTACTTTGTAATGTAGAGAGGAAGTCAATCCTATATCTTAGTGACACATGTGTCAATTTCTTTAATTATATTATATATTCGATGCAAGTAAGTATAAAGTTGCAAAAAAAAAGAAAAATAGAGTCTAAATGGGAAACAAATACGCTTTGTAAAACTGCAGGAATATGTGCGTGTACTGGCGTATGTTTGTCTCCTTTAAACAAAACCAGAACATTTCTTTTAACACATATACATATGTATATACGTTTGTATGAATAACTTTTTACTTTTTACAATGAATTCAGTTTTCATATTTAAATTTATTTTTATTTAAATGAAAATATTTCAAAGTAGATTTTTTTAAGGTTTTAATGTTCTTGTCCACAAGCGTGTGTCTGCATGTGTGTGCCAGTGCATGCATTCAGTGTAATTGATTTGTAATTTATCACTGTGAAAGAGTTGTAAATATTTATTGTATTTGTTGTTATTTAAATATTTTATTTTTATTTATTGTCATATTAATGTACTCATTGTAGCGTGTACACCGTATAAATAAACCTATAAATATTTAATTAATTTTTATGTCATTTTATCGCTAATAGTGGGTAGATTAAGTTTGTCAAAGGATTTGTAAGAGATAGATATACTTATTTGACATTGGAAATTAAAACATATAATCTCTACTCCTGAAGGGTATTTGTTAATCAATGTGGACATGTAAACAGTGTGTAATAAATGTGTTTGACAAAACAAAACTTATTCAACACTTTCAAAACGTTCTCATAAGAGACAACAGTCATTTCTATTTATGTGCCTACTTGAATATTTTGATAAATTTTTACCGATTTATGAACTATATTCTAAATAAACAGTATTTAAATTTTAAGCTTTGTTCAAAATATTTTTGATAGCAGAGCATAAAAATATTATTTAATTTTTATTGGAAGAGTAATTAAAAAATATATATTTTAATATTTCATAAATAAAATTGTATATGTGTAAACATTTGGCAGGCAACAACAAGGTTAAAGTTGATCATTGCCATTGGAAAATTAATATTTAATATTTTTTATTTCAGTAAAAATAATGAATTTTCATTAAGTTTTTTTTTTTTTTTTTTTTGGTATTAACATTTAATATTAAGGTCTTAAGCTATTTAAGGTGGCAATCAAATTTTCTATTTTCGCTGATAAAAGAAAATTAATTATTGAATAAATGTCCGTATGTCAATCTGTGTGTCAATGTAAACCTTGTGCACACGCTACAGGTATCAATTTTCAAGATAGTTTTATGAAATTTTTCACATACGTTTCTCTATTGAAAATGGTTGCAATAGGTCTATTATTTAGCTAAACGGAAATAGATCAAAATTGTTTACAATGTACCAGTTTCTAATTTTAAACTGACATTGAAAACTGATATAAGGTTGTGATTTAAAAAGTCCTATTAAAATTGTATGTAGAACTACATACATAAGTATTAAATTCATTTACTTTCCCCAAATGCTATTACCTTTCTCTTATTAGAACAAATTCAAAAAATCTGAATACGTATGAGCAATATTTTTGACAAACAAATAAATAAATATCAATCATACGCTCACTAAACCTAGTAGACTGTTAGAAAGAAATATAAATATACACTTTAGTTTTTCAATTTAAAAAACAGTTGCAATTAAATCATTTTCAGTGATTAGAAAACCATAAAAGATTTTTCCATTAAAAAAAACCCTCAAAAAATTTGTGGTGTTACAACAAATCAAGCATATATGGACCCAACCATGTTGAAAAAATCATAAAATATAATTTTAATAAAAATTATTTTGGCTACTACATTCAAAACAGATATTAAGTAGTGATCTCAAAAGTTGCATTAACATTTTATGTAGAACTAAATATGTATTAAATTCATCTGCTTTCCCCAAATTGTATTACCTTTCTTTCATTAGAACACATTCAAAAAACCTCAATACGTATGAGCAATATTTTTTGCAAACAACGAAATAAATATCAATCATACGCTCACTATACCTAGTAGACTGTTGGAGAGAAAATCAAATAAACATTTTACAACTCATAAATATACATACATTTTAGTTTTTCAATTTAAAAACAGTTGCAATTAAATCATTTTCAGTGATTAGAAAACCATAAAAGATTTTTCCACAAAACAAAATTCAAAACGGATATTAAGTCGTGATCTCAAAAGTCGCATTAAAATTTTATGTAGAACTACATATGTATTAAATTCATCTGCTTTCCCCAAATTGTATTGCCTTACTTTTATTACAACAAATTCAAAAAACCTCAATACGTATGAGCAATATTTTTGGCAAACAAATAAATAAATATCATTCATACGCTCACTATACCTAGTAGACTGTTAGAAAGAAAATCAAATAAACATTTTACAACTCATAAATATACATTTTAGTTTTTCAATTTAAAAAACAGTTGCAATTAAATCATTTTCAGTGATTAGAAAGCCATAAAAGATTTTTCCATTAAAAAAAACCTTAAAAAAATTTGTAACACCACAAATCAAGCATATCGACCATAACCATGTTAAAAAAAATCATAAAATATAATTTTAATACAAATTATTTTAGTTACGAATTTTTTTTACCAAAAATTGCCAACTATAGCGAAATACAATAGAAAAAAAACTAAATGAAAATGTTTTGTATTGTTATAAGCCAATTTTTTCCAGCAAATTTTTTTTTTTGCATTTTTCAGCAGTCACTTGTGAATGCACACAAAATATTTATTATACAATTTAGGTTATTTTCTAAAATAAAGAAAAATACAAAACCAGCAACAGCCGAAAACAACAATAAAATTTTGTATATTTTCAACAAACAAAATTTTTACCAAATTGGGTTTTGTATATGCTTCTTGTTAAAAGGAGTTAAAAGGAATGTATTTAAGGTTTAAAAAAAGGAATTTAAATTAAATTATTTTAAAGCTTAAAACAAAAAGTATAGGATATTTAACTGTTATATATAATTATGTTTAAAATTCCTATTTTCAAACTCTGCTTGGACTAATGAATGCTTAGTTTAACAACTCTGCTTTGTTGCCTTAAACAAAATAAACTATTACAATAATATGTTTTACTCTCTAAATTTCCTCATAAAATAAAGAATGCTAGAGAAACGTGTACAATTGTGTAAAAAGAGAATAGTAAAGAAAATAATAAACCTCAATTGTGCAAAACCGGCAAAAAAGAAAAACCCTGTAGACAACTAAAGAACAATGAGGCAAAACACAAAGTATTTTGCATAATAAAATAAAGGAAACATATTTCTTATAATATATGTAACAGTATGAATATAATGTAGAAAAACCCTTCTACCAAATAGAAAATTTAATACATTTTCTATCAAATATCGTATGTGTTGAAATGCTTGAATTGGGTATTTTATTTTTGTTTTTCTATTCAAACTATGCAATTGACAAGAGATATTTCTATTGCTAGAAAATAAAACTATTTTCATTCTTAAAAATATTTCTTCATTTTTTTTTCTTTGCTCTCTAACTATATAATGGAAATGATTTATTTTTTTAAGATTTTGATTTTCTAACACACAATAAAATTCAACATTAGAAAAACATTTTCACATTTCACCCCTAACTGCTATTTGGCATTCTTTCCAATGTAGTGACAACAAAACCCGTTGCAACACCAAAAAAACCCCAACTTTATGTTTGTTGCACAAAAGAACGTAACAGAACAGAAATGACATACAAAAAAAAAAAAAAACTAGAAAAATAGAAAGAAAACAAATTTGCATGAAAAATTTGCATGCATACATACCTGACCATCATTGTCCTTGTCAGCTTTTGAACGTAAACCTTCCCAAATTTCCAACATGACAGCATGGGTTTGCTTATTCTTTGGTGTATCCTTAGCCCAGCCACGTAATGTACAAACACGCTATGAAGGTTAAAGCAAATTTGAGATGGAAAAAAATATAAACAAAACAACAATCAACTTTGTATGATAGATATTTATTGTTTTGAGCGTGAATAAGAAAAAAACAGGAACAAATTTTGAAAATATGCATAAATCTATAACATACATCGACCAGTGTAAAGAAGAGCTTGAGCAGAAATAATTTACATGTGACAAATAAATATAGTTGTACTTAAACTTGTACTACGTGTGGTATAAGTAACTTAAAAGTAAAGCCGATTTGGTTTCATGGGGAATACTGATTGATATAATTTCTTCTATAATATTCAAAAGTTTTTATAACTTCCCCCTTTTATGGTCATACCTCCCATTTAAAGCTTTAATTGCTTTAAAAAGGGGACCATTTTGAAAAAAAGTCAAAAAATTTTAAATTTTACAAAAAAAAAGTCCAACAGTTTTTTAAAAAATATCTAAAATATTTGTTCTGAAAGATTGAGAAAATAGCTGTCAAACTATTTGAAAAAAAAAATTGAGAAAATTACCTGTTTGTCACTTTGACACACTGTAACTCAAAGAATACTTAACCAATCTTGTTGAAAAATTGTGTCTAAACTACTACTTAATAGGATTATAATTAGTTTAAATTTCCTTCCGTTCCGAAATTTACAAATTTTATAAATGAACTTATTTCTCAATATTTCTGTACAGCCGAAATTCCTAAAAAATATATATTTTTTTATTTGCTTGCATTCTATACGGTTGTTACTGTTAGCTTAGTATAGTGTATGTTATACAAAAAAACATGCATATTTATCAGGCAAAATGTTCTTGTATATTTATTTTCAAATTTAATTCTTTTTTATTTTCATTTATTTTTGTCTCTATAGTAACCGACTTACCTCAATGGCCAATTCAAAATCCTTAATGTCAATTTCACCACTTTGGTTCACATCTGTTGTGTTTAGGAGGGTCATATAGGAAATGGAAATGCAAATATAAACGCACCCATACATACAACCACACAAACACACATAACCAATTGGTAAACACATATATACAATTAAACGTATAGCAAACAAAATACATACAAATAAATATTAGTAACCGATATTTTGTTTTGTTTCGATGTTTTTTTTTACAACAAGAATTTGTTGACATTCAATTGTATATACACATATACAACCATCGACAGCAATAGTAGTAAATTTTACATTTTATACCCGCAACAACAACAACAGCATTAAATACGTTTGTATGTGGCAGTAGTAGTGGGTGTTTGAATGTTGTATAGTAGTTTTATAAAACAGTTGGCAAAATAACCGTATAAAATATCCATATTTTTGTTGTTGATGTTTTCAAAATTGAGAGCGAAGTATGTGTTGAAAATAGAGTCATAAAGCCACCGTGGGAAAATAGGTTGAGGGCATAAGCGGGAGGAGAAGAGAAAAAGTAAACAATTTTAAATCAGTAAAAAAGAAATTTTGATACAAAATAAATTTACTTGCACTCATATATACAGAACAATTTGTAGCTTTAGCTGTTTGTATGTATATGAATATGCAACTTAAGTGTAAACATGAGAGTGTGAGAGGTTGAGTTTATTTGTTTGTTGAGTGTGAATGAGAATGTTTGTTTGCATACAAACGTACATATACATACGTACATATTTTGTATAACAGAGAATTTTAAATAAGAGTGCGTTTTGTGTGCATGAGATTGTGTGTGTATGTGTTTAAGTGTCTGAATTTTAAATGGCTTGTTTATTTAGTGAATGAATATTATTTTTGACTATATTTTTATTTATTTCTTGTTTCATATATATTTTTTTCCATTTGTTCGTTTGACTACAGCTGTCGTAGTGTATCCGGTTCGCATTTTCCAAACAAGCGGAAGTGACTTGTTTTAAGTGTCAGTTAGTTTATGGCATGAAAGTTATACGTTTTAGTTGTTGTTTTTATTTTTATGACACAGCAATTTTTGTTTGTGATACGTTGTTTTATCTAATTTTTATAAAAACTGAATTTTTGGCAAATTAAGTTTTAATTTTGTGTTGAAATATTTATAATACAATTGTGTTTTTTAATTAAAACGTTTTAAATTATATGCTTTTAAAATATTTATGCGACAATAATCTGAATTTTTCGAAATACATATAAATAAGTTAGAGACATAATTTAAAACACTGGCAATTCAAGTCTTTAATAATATAGAGGAATTCGAGTGAATTGTTTTAAACTTGGAATAAGACTTGATAATTTTAGGGGTAAAATAGAAAAGTAAAACAGAATTTCTAGTTCTAGTTTCTAGTTCAGTTCTAGTTCAGTTCTAGTTCAGTTCTAGTTCAGTTCTAGTTCAGTTCTAGTTCAGTTCTAGTTCAGTTCTAGTTCAGTTCTAGTTCAGTTCTAGTTCAGTTCTAGTTCAGTTCTAGTTCAGTTCTAGTTCAGTTCTAGTTCAGTTCTAGTTCAGTTCTAGTTCAGTTCTAGTTCAGTTCTAGTTCGTTCTATTCAGTTCTAGTTCAGTTCTAGTTCAGTTCTAGTTCAGTTCTAGTTCAGTTCTAGTTCAGTTTCTAGTTCAGTTCTAGTTCAGTTCTAGTTCAGTTCTAGTTTCAGTTTCTAGTTCAGTTCTAGTTCAGTTTCTAGTTCAGTTCTAGTTCAGTTCAGTTCAGTCTAGTTCAGTTCTAGTTCAGTTCTAGTTCAGTTCTAGTTCAGTTCTATGTTCAGTTCAGTTCTATTCAGTTCTAGTTCAGTTCTAGTTCAGTTCTAGTTCATGTTCAGTTCTAGTTCAGTTCTAGTTCAGTTCTAGTTCAGTTCTAGTTCAGTTCTAGTTCAGTTCTAGTTCAGTTCTAGTTCAGTTCTAGTTCAGTTCTAGTTCAGTTCTAGTTCAGTTCTAGTTCAGTTCTAGTCAGTTCTAGTTCAGTTCTAGTTCAGTTCTAGTTCAGTTCTAGTTCAGTTCTAGTTCAGTTCTAGTTCAGTTCTAGTTCAGTTCTAGTTCAGTTCTAGTTCAGTTCTAGTTCAGTTCTAGTTCAGTTCTAGTTCAGTTCTAGTTCAGTTCTAGTTCAGTTCTAGTTCAGTTCTAGTTCAGTTCTAGTTCAGTTCTAGTTCAGTTCTAGTTCAGTTCTAGTTCAGTTCTAGTTCAGTTCTAGTTCAGTTCTAGTTCAGTTCTAGTTCAGTTCTAGTTCAGTTCTAGTTCAGTTCTAGTTCAGTTCTAGTTCAGTTCTAGTTCAGTTCTAGTTCAGTTCTAGTTCAGTTCTAGTTCAGTTCTAGTTCAGTTCTAGTTCAGTTCTAGTTCAGTTCTAGTTCAGTTCTAGTTCAGTTCTAGTTCAGTTCTAGTTCAGTTTCTAGTTCAGTTTAGTTCAGTTTAGTTCAGTTCTAGTTCAGTTCTAGTTCAGTTCTAGTTCAGTTCTAGTTCAGTTCTAGTTCAGTTCTAGTTCAGTTCTAGTTCAGTTCTAGTTCAGTTCTAGTTCAGTTCTAGTTCAGTTCTAGTTCAGTTCTAGTTCAGTTCTAGTTCAGTTCTAGTCAGTTCTAGTTAGTCTAGTTCAGTTCTAGTTCAGTTCTAGTTCAGTTCTAGTTCAGTTCTAGTTCAGTTCTAGTTCAGTTCTAGTTCAGTTCTAGTTCAGTTCTAGTTCAGTTCTAGTTCAGTTCTAGTTCAGTTCTAGTTCAGTTCTAGTTCAGTTCTAGTTCAGTTCTAGTTCAGTTTCTAGTTCAGTTCTAGTTCTTCTAGTTCAGTTCTAGTTTCAGTTTCTAGTTCAGTTCTAGTTCAGTTCTAGTTCAGTTCTAGTTCAGTTCTAGTTCAGTTCTAGTTCAGTTCTAGTTCAGTTCTAGTTCAGTTATAGTTCAGTTCTAGTTCTGAACTAGTTCAGTTCTAGTTCAGTTCTAGTTCAGTTCTAGTTCAGTTCTAGTTCAGTTCTAGTTCAGTTCTAGTTCAGTTCTAGTTCAGTTCTAGTTCAGTTCTAGTTCAGTTCTAGTTCAGTTCTAGTTCAGTTCTAGTTCAGTTCTAGTTCAGTTCTAGTTCAGTTCTAGTTCAGTTCTAGTTCAGTTCTAGTTCAGTTCTAGTTCAGTTCTAGTTCAGTTCTTGTTCAGTTCTTGTTCAGTTCTAGTTCAGTTCTAGTTCAGTTCTAGTTCAGTTCTAGTTCAGTTCTAGTTCAGTTCTAGTTCAGTTCTAGTTCAGTTCTAGTTCAGTTCTAGTTCAGTTCTAGTTCAGTTCTAGTTCAGTTCTAGTGCAGTTCTAGTTCAGTTCTAGTTCAGTTCTAGCTCAGTTCTAGTTCAGTTCTAGTTCAGTTCTAGTTCAGTTCTAGTTCAGTTCTAGTTCAGTTCTAGTTCAGTTCTAGTTCAGTTCTAGTTCAGTTCTAGTTCAGTTCTAGTTCAGTTCTAGTTCAGTTCTAGTTCAGTTCTAGTTCAGTTCTAGTTCAGTTCTATTTTAGTTCTATTTCAGTTCTAGTTCAGTTCCAGTTCAGTTCTAGTTCACTTCTTCATTCATTCACAAAAATTCAAATGCTTATCAAAATGTTCATGTTTAACAACGTATACTTGATTTACAATAATTAAATATTACGTATACGCCTTACTTGTACATGATGCAAATGATTAATGTGTTTGATGAGTTTATATGATTGCAATAAATTTCAATAAATTGCTAACAAAAACCAAATGAAAATAAATCTTTACTTACCAAAGAAAACATTGAACAAGAACAACAACTTCTTTTTGCGGAAATCAGAGATAGACATGGTTGTTTAGGAGTTTTTTTCTTAACTTTGCAAAAAGGAAATTAAATAAGGAAAACTGCAAAGACAAGAAAGGAAATATAAAAAATATTAATACGAATGTAGATTTTTAAAACTACAAAAACAATTTGCTTAAATAAGTAAATATATTAAAATAAGATTAAAATTGCTTAAAAAAATTCTTTATACAAAATATGCTGAAAAATGCATTATTCCCAAAAACAAAAACTTAAGCTAAAAAGAAGATAAATGTTTACATTCTATATAGAATTTTTGATGTTTTGCTTGTTTAAATCTTAAATAAAATATTAAGAAAGACATCCTCTTCTACACATATGGTTTTAAATGAAACAATGTGTCAGAGTGTTTAAATAATAAAATTTATTTCAATATAATTTTTTTTAGTTCTTCCCCACAGTTTTTGTTCTTACTTCTTTTTGTCTTTGTTAACAACAGCATGTGAAAAACTATTAAACTATTGAGTAAGTAAGAAAAGACAGAAAATACATAAAAATTGATAAAATATGTTGGAGTTAATAAATTTTAAAATAATAAAGAGCAGAAAGCAGTTGTTAAAATAAAAGCTGAGATATCTCCTTTTGGCATTGACTTAAGTAGAGGGTTGCTGATTTTTTCTTTAATGGAATTTATGTTTAGTTTAAATTTAATCACTTTAATCATTATATATTTGAGTTGAATTTTTAAAATTTCTTTATTAGCCACAAAGAATTTTTGATTTTAATTGAAGTCTGAAAGAATTTATTTAATTTTGTTTAAGAATTTTGTTTTTAATGTTAAAAAAAATCCTTTTAAAAATTCCTTTAACTAAATCTTTACTTATATCTTTATGTTTTTTCTTGCCAACCCACAGCTATTTAAACTATTTTGGAAACAATTTGTTTATTTACGCATTTGTAACCCGCAACTGTAGCTAGTTGCAGCAGCAGCTGTAACACCTTAAAATTCCTTTTTTAATTTCATTATGATTTAATTTATTTGCTTCCACTTTTGTTTTGCCTTTGCCTTGAGTTTTAGTGCCAGTATGTCTTTGGTTTTGTGTCAAGAGCTTACTAACCTTACATATAAGATGACTTCCTAGACAAACTTCTAAGACAAAACGTTTAAGCACCAACACACACACATACATACTATATATACATTGTGCCACAAACACCAACACAGTTTTGCCACTTTAAGTGGCTTGTTGTTTAAAAGGTGAAAATCTTTTGTAGTCTTTTTTTTGCCTTTAACAGCTTATTTTTGCTTTTATGCTAAAAATACTACAAAAAATAAGAACTAAGAAAACATAAAATAACAAAGGAAAATGGTTATGTATGCAAATGGATTTAATATTTTCTATGTATGTGTTCATGCGATGCTATTGTATGCATCGTTGAGCTATTTAGGTAAAAAGCATAATGATAAAAATGATAGTAGAAAGAAATAAAGAAAAAACACTATTTATGCTATATAATGCAAGTAGCAGAATTTAACAACTCATTCTTCATTCATATTAGTTATGGAAACAGGCTAATGTTCATCGTACATACATATCTACATACAAACTTGTAAACATTAACGCAAAAACTTGGCTTATGCAACCAAAAGTTAAATACTTTTGCACACTTACTTATACATAAGCAACAGTCGACAAAATTGTTTGTTTGGAAAATATGCTGAGTGAAAAATTGTAGTAAAATTCATGTAAAACATCTAAACATCAACAATGTGTATTTTGCTACTTTTCATCAAAATCATTGCTTAAGTTGTGCTGTTATCTGTTTAGCAGTTTAGGTAATAAATATAGCGGGGAATAAATTTAACCGTGATATGTAAATGTTGGAATATTTCCTAATCCTTTTTGATTATATGGGTTTTGATTGGCAGAAAGGTTAAACATGTATGCATGGATGGTTTAATTTATAACAAAAAAGCAATAAGCATAAGTTCTCAATTTACTAACTTTTAAAATTTAACAAATCTTCTAAAGTCCTTCACTCTTTTTATCCCCACCCCTGTTATAGCCAGCAGTTTAACGAAATGTGGATAAGTGAAAAATTTATGTATGTTATAAAAACTAAAAAAATATCAAAGTCGTATTATATTTTCTACTTATATTAACGTTATTTCCATTATAATTTTAATGCCTTAAAATAATATGTACAAAGTACATACGTACATATATAGTTTTACTTAAAAAAAGCCCCAAAAATATATTTATTCCCTCATAATAAGTTTTCTGCTAAATGGGAAAAACATTTTACTACTATATTTTTAAGAAATGGTTTTAACCTTTTACAACAAACAACATTTCTTGTTTTTCCCAGAGAAATGTTTGGCGAATTAACAATAAAATTTTAGCAAAAAGATATGTGTTTTATGGTAAAGAAACAGCAGCCATTAAGTTTAATTTGAATTTAAAATGCAGAGATTTACTACGTATATACATATGTATATGCAGCTAAGTAGTTTTGCTGTCATATAAATAAACAGTTTTAAGAACAAGTAAAAGTTTTTTATTTGTCTGTGCTGTATCTTATACACTCTTCATCATAGTGTTTTTAAGAAATGGTTAACACTTATTGTATTTTAGTAAACATTAAAAAAACAAAAATAATTAAAATTTTCAATTTTGATCTTTTCTATTTGTAGACCGATTAAGATTTTAAATCGAAAATTTGCTGAAAGCATAATTGGTAGAATTATACAAGATTTGGAATCAGGGACTATATGGGTTCTGCAAAACATTTATTTTAGCAAACATACCTTGACCATAGCCTAGACTATAGACAAGACTATAGACTAGACTATAGACTAGAATATATAGACTAGACTATAGATTAGACTACATAGACTAGACTATACACTAGACTATAGACTAGACTATAGACTAGACTATAGACTAGACTATAGACTAGACTATAGACTAGACTATAGACTAGACTATAGACTAGACTACAGACTAGACTATAGATTAGACTATAGACTAGACTATAGACTAGACTATAGACTAGACTATAGACTAGCCTATAGATTAGACTATAGACTAAATAATTAAAATTTTCAATTTTGATCTTTTCTATTTGTAGACCGATTAAGATTTTAAATCGAAATTTGCTGAAAGCATAATTGGTAGAATATACAAGATTTGGAATCAGGGACTATATGGGTTCTTCAAAAAATTATTTTAGCAAACATACCTTGACCATAGCCTAGACTATAGACAAGACTATAGACTAGACTATAGACTAGAATATATAGACTAGACTATAGATTAGACTATATAGACTAGACTATACACTAGACTATAGACTAGACTATAGACTAGACTATAGGCTAGACTATAGACTAGACTATAGACTAGACTATAGACTAGACTATAGACTAGACTATAGACTAGACTATAGACTAGACTATAGACTAGACTATAGACTAGACTATAGACTAGACTATAGACTAGACTATAGACTAGACTATAGACTAGACTATAGACTAGACTATAGACTAGACTATAGACTAGACTATAGACTAGACTATAGACTAGACTATAGACTAGACTATAGACTAGACTATAGACTAGACTATAGACTAGACTATAGACTAGACTATAGACTAGACTATAGACTAGACTATAGACTAGACTATAGACTAGACTATAGACTAGACTATAGACTAGACTATAGACTAGACTATAGACTAGACTATAGACTAGACTATAGACTAGACTATAGACTAGACTATAGACTAGACTATAGACTAGACTATAGACTAGACTATAGACTAGACTATAGACTAGACTATAGACTAGACTATAGACTAGACTATAGACTAGACTATAGACTAGACTATAGACTAGACTATAGACTAGACTATAGACTAGACTATAGACTAGACTATAGACTAGACTATAGACTAGACTATAGACTAGACTATAGACTAGACTATAGACTAGACTATAGACTAGACTATAGACTAGACTATAGACTAGACTATAGACTAGACTATAGACTAGACTATAGACTAGACTATAGACTAGACTAGACTATAGAATAGACTATAGACTAGACTATAGAATATACTATAGAGTAGACTATAGAATAGACTATAGACTAGACTATAGACTAGACTATAGACTAGACTATAGGCTAGACTAGACTACAGACTAGACTATAGATTAGACTATAGACTAGACTATAGACTAGACTATAGACTAGAATATAGACTAGACTATAAGCTAGACTAGACTATAGACTAAACTCTAGACTAGACTATAGACTAGACTATAAACTATATTATAGGATAGATTATAGAATAGACTATAAACTATATTATAGGATAGATTATAGAATAGACTAGAGTTAAGACTAGACTATAGAATAGACTAGAAAATAAACAAGACAATAGACTAGACTAGAGACTAGACTATAAACTATACTATAGACTAGACTATAGACTAGACTATAGACTAGACTATAGACTAGACTATAGACTAGACTATAGACTAGACTATAGACTAGACTATAGACTAGACTATAGACTAGACTATAGACTAGACTATAGACTAGACTATAGAATAGGCTAGACTATGAATTTCACCATAGACTAGACTATAGATTAGACTATAGACTAGACTATAGAATAGACTATAGACTAGACAATAGACTAGACTATAGACTAGACTATAGACTACACTATAGACTACACTATAGACTACACTATAGACTACACTATAGACTACACTATAGACTACACTATAGACTGAACTATAGAGCAGACTATATACACTATATACTAGACTACAGACTGGATTGTAAACTAGTTAATAGACTAGATTATGGACTGGACTATAGAATAGACTAAACTGTAGACCAAAATAGACTACAAACTAGTCTATTGACAACTATGTGGACTATTTATCAAATGTTTATAAGTTAGAAGAAGAACCGAAAGTATCGTGAGGGTTTCGCTGTATATTTCGATATCAAAAAGTACTAAAGTACAGAATTTTCCATGCCTGACGTATAGCCTTCTCACAAAGTTTAAAGATATAGCAAAAAA